AACAACAACAACAACAACAACAACAACAACAAGAACAACAACAGCAACAAGATCATTGCAGGATGGTGACGAGGAGGAGTTCCTCCCCCCATGGTGGCATTGCCCATTGTTGCTGTAGTAACACAGTAGACTTCTTTTTTACACACTCAGTACAATAAGGATATTAGTATTAGTACTACCAGTATTCCTTCTAGTACAACTAAACTAAAGGACTTCCTGCAGAGAAGTACGAAGTATTTGTATTACTTTAGTACCGCTGGTACTAGTAGTACACACGGTTTGTGATCCCCCGCGTTTGGAAGTCCTTCAGAAAAACGCAGTCACAACAGCACAGCGGCAACCGTGAATAACACAGCAACAACAGTGTGCTCGACAGCAACAGCAACAGCAACAGCAACAGCAACAGAACGACCTTTCCGCCCGTACCGTGGCATGGTTTGTCCGACAAGCGCCGCAGCATAGCATGTCGATCCCGGTACGGATCCTGACCTGGAACACTCTGGAAAGCGGGGGCGGCGGGGCCTTCGAGGACGGGTGGGGCTGCCCGCTGGAGATCCGTCGGCGCGACGCGCTGGCACAGGTGCTGGCGAGGGACGGCGGGAACGACCCCGGCAGCGGGGACCCGCAATCGCCGTTCTTGGCGGGGGCCGAGGCGATGCTGACCGGCGAACGGCACGAGCGTCTCCGGGCCGCGGTGCTGGCCGACGTCTTCGAATGCACCGAAACCAAGGCCCCCGTGGACTTTATGGCCTTCCAGGAAGTCACGCTGGACGACCCCTGGGACGGGGATCCCGCCTTCTTCTCCGGGCCCGGAAACGGAGGCAACGGCACGACGAGGGACGAGGAGAGCCTCTTCGGGCCCCTGTACGATCGCGTGCCCTGCCCCTCGGCAAGACCGGGCGAGAAGAACGGCCGGAGGATCTACGCCCGCAAGGACTCCGGCTGGGAGCACAGGGTGTCTCTGCCGCTGGGTTCGGGCGCCCTGGTGGGGGGCTGCCTCGCCGAGTTTGGACGGGGCGGCGAATCCGCCGGCCCGGGGATCTCCCCCCGCCTGTACCTCGTGAACCTCCACGGAAAATCGAGAGACATGCGCGATCCGGAGCTCCGCCGGAGGGGCGTCCTCGATCTCTGGGGGGAGCTCGCCTCGCTCCTCGGAGGAGGCGAAGGCGACGGCGAAAGCGATCGCAGCGGCAACTGGCCACGGCAAACCGTCCTGTGCGGGGACTGGAACACCCAGCTGACGGACCTGGTCGGCGATTTTCGGGACGCCGCCGCCAGCTACGAAGGCAGCTCCGGCACGGTTCTTTGGGAACCGGTGGTGGGCCTCCTCGACAACTCGACCCGCACCGACACCTTTCCCTATTTTTCGACGAACCACGAGGACGGCTTCCTGGCCCAGTACGATGGGTGCCTGTTCGTTCGCGATCCGGACGGAAGCAAAGGCGGACCGAGCACCGGCACCAACGCACCGGTGCAAGGTTTGGAACTCCTTGGAACCACCTGGAACCCCGAGGGCTTTATGCCCAAGGGCCGCCACGGGAGCCTGGGCGGCGGCGTGCTTTGGTACCAACACGCCGGGAACCACACGGAGGCCGGGAGCAGCGGGCCGGAGCAAGAAGAGGGGGTCTGCCTCGACGGGAAGGTTCTGCCGGGGTCCCTGCCGTCCGAGGGCCTGAGCGACCACCTCCGGATCTATACCGACCTCCTGGTGGGCAGCAACGCCGGAAGGCCCGCAGCCGGAGACTACCGGGGCGGGGGCAGCGACGAAGGGCACCAGAGACGCCCACCCCGCCGTTACGACGCCGGAAGGGCTCGTTCCGGCGGTCGGAACGAGAGCCACCAAAGCCACGGGCCCGGAAAGGGCCTGCGGGGGTGAGAAACGATGCAATACCAAACGAAACGAAACGAAACCGAGACCACCGACCGGTGTCGCCCGGCGGATTGGCACGCCGCCACCAGGAACAAAAGGCCCCTGGGCATCCGCGTTGCCCTGGGGTCGGCGTGGCACGTGCCGTTCGAGTTCCGTGCTCCAATCCAATCCGCAAAGACAAGAGAGGTGGAACCAGGCCACACCGGGCCCGTGATTTCCCTGTGCAGCGGCACGAGCCGGGACATGCCACCGCTTACAAAACGAAACGCGCATTGTGCCAATGGAGGAATGAGGTAGCATGCCAGCGAGAAACAAAAAAATGATCTTGTTTGGTGCACAAGCTACTGTAGGATGACTGGCATTGCACGGTGCGGTACCAGAGAAAGAACGGTCCTTCCTTGCCACCGATGGGAGCAAGCAAAGGCGAGAAAGGGCGATTCCAACAGACTACATAGGAACTGTACAGAACTAACTTATCATGGAAGAATTCTATACGATACATCCGCAGAGTCGCATCGCTGGCCGACGGAGAAGTCGATTCGCCACAATGCATTAAGCAAAGACAAAGACAAACCCAGACCATCCAATCCAATCGAATCCAATCCCGATTCACGCGCTGCCTTCTTTGTTGGACTCGCGTCCGCCCTTGGCTCGGGTGGGTTCCCTCGGCGCTCGGACACCACGCCCGCCGGAAACCAACGGTTTGTGTTTGTTTTGGTTTGTGTTTGGGTTTGGTTTGTCTTTGTGTTTGGTTTCCTCGTTCCGTCTCGTGCCGGCCCGTGCGTGCTCGCTCCCGCCCTGCACTTTGGGCCTAGCCGTAGCACCGGATCTCTTCGGTGCAGCCCTTCTCGGCCGACTGGGGCCGACCGAACCTCCCCCCCTTTTCGAGGTACCTCTGGTGGTGCCCCTCGGCCGGCCAGAAGGCCGCCGCGGGCGCAACCTCCGTGGCAAGGGACCGGCCCCTGTACCGGGGGTTCGTGGCGACCTCCTCCCGCAGGAGCCGCGCGGCTTCCTCCTCCTGCTCCAACGCGTGGCAGTAGATGCCCGTGGCGTACCGGTCCCCCACGTCCCTCCCCTGGCCGCCGGCCTGCGAGAGGTCGACGCGGGCCAGAAAGGCGGTCCGCAGCAGGTCCCCAAAAGAGACGACCTCCGGGTCGAAGCCCACCAGGACGGCCTCCCGGTGGGAGGTGTTCCCGGCGCTCACCATGTCGTAGTTCGGTCGGGCCTCCGGCCCCCGGGTGTACCCGACCAGGGTGACCTCCACCCCCTCGGTGCGCTGGAGGGCCAGCTGCAGGCCCCAGAAGCAGCCCCCCGCCAGCGTCGCGAGTTCCAGGCGGGGGTCCGAGGGAAGGCGCGGGGGGAGGGAGGAAACGAATCCCCCGTCTCGCGGTGTGCTGCTGGTGCTGGTGCTCGTGGTTTCTGCCCGTTCCCCGGCGGCGATCTCGAGGGCCATCTTTCCCACCTCGGGACCGGGGTATTCCAGGGCCTCGTAGTCGATCCCGAGGTTGTACGAGCCGCCGGTGTTCATGGAGTCCTGGAGGGACCCGAGCCAATCCGAGAGGAAATTCCGGAGGGGGGCAGCGGCGCCGGCGTCGGCCCGAACGGAAACGGGTGCCGGGAGAAAGGCCTGGCAGCGGTACGGGATGCTGCACAGGCACGCCACCAGCAGCACGAGCACGAGTGGCATGGTGGCTTGCCGAGAACTACAATGCAGTGGGGTACGAACTTCGTCGTCGTGGTTGTAAAGTACCGTTCGGCACTGTGAAGAAAGAAAGATAGTAGTGGGGGACACAAAGTACTCTTGTACTCGAATCGTGAGACGAGAAGTACCCGTACGAGTACGTACGTAACGTACCCGGTACCATGACTGCGTCCTGGATTCTTCGTCGTCACGATCCTTCCTTGGTTTTGTTCTTGCATCCGACTGACTCGATCGATTACAACAAGGACGAACCAATCAACAATCCACAATCCGACTGTTGTCGTCAGTCAGTCAGTCGTCCTTCCCGGTGATCTTTTCATCATCTGTCCCGATCTCCGAGACATAAATGCGTTCGTACGTACGTACGTACGTTCGTAAGGTTGTACGATGAGAAAACGAGTTCTACGTAATTTTATGGGCATTGTGGCCTTCACTACGATACGAGTACTAAGTGTTAGAAGTACTATTACTAAGCCACGCAACGTAGAATCGGCTTTTTCTTTGTCTTCTCTCGTCCCCGTCGAACAGAAAGGCAACGACAACGGTGTTGTGCCGTACAACGCACTTGCCACACCACACGGAATCAATCACCACTGGGACAACCGGGACGGGAAATCGAAGAAACCAGAGACACCGTCCGACCGCACAGCACAGCACAGCACAGCACTGCACTGCACGCTTCTGCCCCAGCCGTTGGCCATCGAGAGCAAGCGGTCAGATACCAATCCAGCGGCCGAAAAAAACAGCCCGACGAGAACTGCCCCGACCAAGGACAACACACCAACCACGATACGATACGATACGATGCGTTGCGATACGATGCCACGCACCCACCCCGCCGCCCCTGCCCCCGGATCGCCGCACCCTTTGCGGGTCCTGGCGGCGATGGGACTCCTCGCGGTCGCGCAGCGGGCACACCCCGCGTCCGCCTTTTCGCCGTGCCCCGCGGCCGGCGGTGCCCGCCCGGGCTCCCTGCGAATGGCCGACGCCCCAGCCGACACCACCTGGACGAACCTGGTCCCGGCCGACGAGTCCGCCCCGGTCCGAAAGACGGTCCTGGAGGATGGCAAGGGGGGGCTCCCGAAAAAGGGCCAGACCGCCACCATCCAATACACCGGCCGCCTCGTCCTGGGCGGCGATTCCGGTGGCCTGGCCGTGGCCTCCTGGACGCCCGGGGCCGTGGTGGACTGCTGGCTGGCCGAGCAACAGGGCCTCTCGGGGATCCTGGAAGGGCCCTTTGCCGCGCAGGGGGTCGACGGGGCCTTTCTCCTGGACGGGGACCGCTTCACCGAGGACTTTCTGCTCGACCCCCTCGGCCTGGAGAACAAACTCCAGCGCAAGAAGGCGGTCATGGCCGCCCGGAGGCTGCGCACTTCGCTGGAAGGCTACGAGGACGGGGCCGTCTTTGACTCCTCTTCCGACAAAGAGGGCGGGGTCTTTCGGGTGGCGGTCGGCGCCGGCAAGACGATCAAGGCCGTGGAACTGCTGGTGGCCTCCATGGCCGTGGGGGAGCGGGCCAGGGTCCGGTCCCGGTGCGACTACGGCTACGGGAGCGAGGGCTACCGGACGTCCAGGGGGGACGTGGTGGTCCCCCCCTTTTGCGGACTCGAGTTCGAGGTGGAACTCGTCTCCCTCGAGTAGTAGCTAGCAGAGGCAGCAGGAGCAGCAGCGCGGCAATCACCGCGACGGATTCCCGGTGCCACAGAGCGCACGCACGCACCACTCTCCCGGACCCCGCAAACAAATCACCACAGTAGCAACCCCGTACGTAGTACCGTGCCCTAAACACTCTCTGCCCGTGCATTGTGTCCTGCCGTTTGTCCCGCTTTTCTTGGAGCCAATCCGAAGTAGATGTACTCGTTGTCGTACTTGTACCGTAGCATAGTGTATCGGGGCGAGACCCGCCGTTCTGTTTTCGTTGCGAATGTACGCATGCTCCTTAGTGTCACATAGAGGGATGTTTACATTAAAGAGTGAGGTTGAGCCTATTGCTCACTCACTATTTACTCGTGATTTAGGTTGTACGTGTATTCCTGGCTCACATTCGTTGCCTCTACGGTTTACAGTTCGTGCGAGTACGAGAAAGTACGAGTACGAACAGAGAATACTTCGTACTGTGTTGTACGTACTTACTCGTACTACGTACCATACCATACAGTGGAAGAGTACGTACCGTACGTACCATCACAGACCACTACAGTACGGTACGGTAGTTCGTCAATCCTCAAACCCAGGGGTTATCAACATCGGGAATTCTCGAATCATTCTGTCACCACCCCGACTCCAAAAACAGAACTCTGCATACCGGTAGGTAGGGTAGGTAGGCTAGGGTCAGGGTACCGTACTGAAGCTGTGATCGCGAAACCTCCCAAAAAAGCGAACCTTGCCGGCCTTCAGAGGGTGGAAAAGGACTAAAGCCAAGCCAGAGCTAGAGCTATTCCGGGAGACACACGCACACGCACATACGCACACGCACACGAAAAACAGAACACAAACACACCGCCGCCACAAAGCACCACCGATCGACCCGAAACCATGGGATCCTTCTGCTCCAAGACCCAAGACCACTACGCCTCCGGAAAGAACGTCCTGATCACCGGCGCCAGCGGCGGGATCGGCGCCGAGCTGGCCCGGAGGTTTGCGGCACAGGGGGCCTCCCTGGCCCTTCTGGCCAGGAGCCCGGAGAAGCTCTCGGCGGTGGCCCAGGAGTGCACGGACGCCGGGGCACCCAGAACGAAGATCTTCCCGTGCGACCTGACGGACAACGGGGACCTCCGCAAGAACCTTTCCTGGGCCGTCGAGACCTTTGGGACCTTTGACGTCGTCGTCCTCAACGCTGGCCGGAGCATGGGATGCTACCTGGAGGAGATCAGGGACCACGACCAGATCGACTACCTGCTCAAGCTCAACACAAACGCTGTCATCCACTGCGTCCACGCCCTTCTACCGGCGGTGCCCAAGACCAGCGACTCGAGGATCGTCGTGATCTCCTCCGTCTCGGGGATCCTCCCGGTCCCGCTCCGGTCCGTCTACTGCGCCTCGAAGCACGCCCTGAGCGGCTTTTGCGGGGCACTCCGGATCGAGCTCAAGGACACCTACGGGGAGCGGGGGGCGCCGGCGGTCCAGGTGATCAACTTCCCGGAGGTCCGGGGGACGGACCTCAACACGGGCCGGATGGACTTTGGGGCGGAGAAGCCCCCGGCCGAGTACTCAACCGCGGTCGGGACCAACCTCTTGACGGTCCAGAAGGCCTGCCAGAGGCTGCTGAAGCAGATCGAGAAGGGGACCCGCGAGTGGGGGAAGACCCCCTTCCACCGGCTGATTGGCCTCCTGCAGGTCTGCGCCGGGGGCCTCTCGGACAGGCTCATCCTGCGGTACATCCGGCGGACCCACTTTCGCCCCGGCGAGAAACCGGGGGGACCGAACGCGAAGGCCGCTGCGGGGGCCGTGGCACCGGCCAAGGAGGACTGAACCGGGCGGGCCCACGGACAAGAGGGAGCCGCCAAGCCGCCTTCCGTTCGATTCGATTCGATTCGATTCTTGGAACAGGTGAACAAAAGGTTGCCGCAACAAAACAAGATCGTGTATTGCGCTTCGATTCGATTCGTTTCGATGCGTGCGATGCTTTTCGCGGCTGCTTGGCATTTCAAACTAAGCTGCGAAACATAAAATAAGATGTACTGCAAGTATTGGGCAAGAGGAGTTTTTCGTTTGAAGAATGACAGCTAAGTGATCCAACATAGACAAATTATCGTCTACTCCTAGTGGCACTTTGATTGGGAGGTTCTGAGAAGATAACGGGATTCAAGGAGTCAAAAATGAGGGATTGGCGACTGCTCGTTATTCCATTGCTCTCACAAAATTCAATGCAGCAGAACCACTTTTCATTGAATGCAATTCAGACACCCGTACGACTACACAATGTGTGCTACTGTGGCAAAAATGTCTGGTCAAAAAAGGCCGAGACTTGTTGTTCCTGCCAAATCAATTATGCTGTTCAGATATCTTCAACTCAAAAAAATATCAGTGAAACGAAATCAACACGTGTTGAGGTCATTCGACGCAGTATTTAGTTKGGACAACACTCTGCTAGTACCATTCGCATCATGCTGAACGAGTCTTCGCCATCGACTTTCTGAAATGTCGAGTGCCTGCTTGCATACGAGATGCAACTTGCATCGATTGCTTTTGTTGGGACGATCGCCTTCCTTGCAATAAATTGGTTTGATTCGTTCGCTAGCTAGTTTCGGCGTTGCGGCCATTGCGTCGTTGCCATTCCCATTCGCTATTGCTGCTGTTTGCCGTCGTCGAAATCGTCGTCCACGTCCTCGGTGTGGATCGACCGGTAGATCTCTGGGCTGACGCTTACAAAGTTGTTCAGGTGGGCGAGCTGCCCCTTGATCGACTCCCGGACCTCGTCCGTGGGGAGCTTCTCCACCACCACGATGCAGGGCAGGTTGTTGGTGGTCCGGACCACGTTGGCGTGGAGGAGCCGGAACCGGCCGCTGAGCTTGCGGACGATCCTCATCACCTGCAGGCCCCGCAGCACGAGCATCACGACGCGGCCGCCGGGCCTCAGGACGTACCAAGCGTTTCTCAGAAAGACCTCGTAGAGGGTCTGCAGGGACGAGACGGACTGGTTCTGCCCCGTCATGATCCCCCAGGGGAGGTTTGTGACGACCGCGTCCACCGAGCCATCGGCGTCAACGTGCCGCCGCAACGACCGGGCGTCGCTGCAGACGAACCGGCAGGTCTGGTCCGACGCATAGCCCTCGGCCCGTGCGTTGGCCCGGGCTCCAACGGCGCTCCGGCGGGAAACGTCCATACCGAGGCAGTTGCGGAGAGTCCCCTTGTGCATCTCGAGGGCCTCCAGCAGCAGCGTCCCGGAACCGCAAAACGGGTCCAGGAGGGTGTCCCCGTCCCGAAGGTTCGCCAGCCGGACCATAGCGTAGGCCAGGTTGGTCTTGATGGTCACCGCGTTCCGGTATCGGGCAAAGTGCCGGCCCTTGGACAGGTCGTGGACGTTGAGCTGCGTCCCTATGACCACCAGGTTGCCGATGACGTCTGCACGGAGATGTACATCGTAATTCGACATCTTGGGTTTCCACCCGTATTTGTTCCCGTACACCTCGGCGACGGCCCCACCAATCTCGTACTCCACCTCCGGGGTCTGCCAGGAATGGGGCCCACCGACGCGGTCGGAGGTAACCCGGAAGGTCAGTTTGCGGAGATCGCTGTCGTTGTCGTCGCGGGGCTCCGGCAGAAACGAAATGCTGTCACTGGTGAGCTGTTCCTTGACGTGTTCGTAAAGGGCCTCCTTGGGAATGAGTTCTTCCTTGAGGGATTCGAGGTCCGCTTCCGCATCGTATTGGTGGACATACGGGAAACAATCTCTCAACCGAAAGTGATAGTGGTAGTCCAAAACGTGGTGGGCTGTTTTCAAATCCAGCAGATCGTTTCGCAAAGCTGCGCTGCCGTCGCCGCTGTCCTTGCTCTTCTCGTTAGGAGAAATCACGCCAATGTATCCATCGAGTTCAAATGGCCTCGTCCGTACGATCCAGCTGTTCGTTGGGTGTTCTTTGAGCCGCTCCCGTATTTCCGCTGCGCAGTATTTTTCGGCGCCCATGTTAGTTTTTACAAGAAACCGCAGGTTGGAGGGAGCGACAACAATATCGTGCTCGCAGAGGGGGGTGTCTTCCTCTCCAAAAACCACCGGGGCCGTCGACGACAAAGCCCTTCGCCTACCGCTCTGGTTCCCGACGTTGTTGCCGCTGCCGCTGCTTCCGCAACTCCCCCCACTCGTCCAGGCCTGCGTCGTCGGCACCGTCCCCTCGCTCACGAGCTTGTCCATAAAGTTGTTCCGACTCTCGTGCAGCTCCTCTCCCTGCGTTGTTTCCCCGGAGGCCGCCTCCTTGGAAAAATCCTTGCACCGAAAGGTTAGGTTGATCCGTCCGGTGGTGACCTCGGGTTCCTTCGGGACGCTGTGCAGGTACTTCGTCTGGCAGACGGGCTCCATCACCACGAGCGATCCGGACCGGAGCTGCAGGGTGGCCCGGTCCCGCCGGCCGTCGGTCTGGCTGCGAACCAGGAACTGCCGGGGAGCCCCCAGGCTGATGGAGGCGATCGGTGTGGTCCGGCCGATTTCCTCCCGGTCGGCGTGCCAGCCGATCCGCTGCTGGCCGTCCTCGTAGAAATTGAGGAGACACACATTGAAGGACGGCGGAACGGTTCCGCTTTCCTCGCCGGTCGGGTGCATGCTAACGTACCATTCCTGGCAGAGCTTCCGGAGGGTCTGCACGAGTTCCGGGAACCCGTTCACCGTGTTGACGTCCTCGCGGTCCGTGGGCAGTGGCGATGAGGTTTCATCGCCTTTCTGTGACTTTGGGGCGTCCTTGTAGGCATAGGCGGGAGCATTGTGGTCCCCACTACCATCAACAAGATCCCCCGCTTCCTGGTACAGGCGGACCCATCGATTGATTTTTGCAGTCTTTTCCCAGGGGATCAGCATTTTTAGTGTCTCGTAGTACTCGTCCGCTGTTTCCTTCGGCAGAAAGCTGGGATCGTGGTACGTGCAGGGAATCTCGAGATCTTTCACCAAGAATTCTTCCATAGTAGATTGTGTGCAATTTGATGAACAGCAGATTCAGTTCCTCTTATGTTGTTGCAGAGGTTCTGGTCATCAGACTTGCATTCGAGTAGGCAGTATTATTAATTTACATCTATCCATTTTCTCAAAAATTGCCGTTCCTAAATCCGAGTTTGGTTTCGTGTCTTTTTGGTTTGATGGGTGAGGTCGGCATCCGAGAGAATCGTGAGCAGAAACGAAACATAACGGGGTTACGACAGACGTCCCCGAGATGACGAGGTTGAGTAAATTGGTCTGTTTGGGTGGCAGTGGAAGTCGAATTTATTTCCAATTGGGTGATTCCCGTTAATAGATGTGCTAAACTGGTAAATCTGGCATCTTTATTACTTTTATAATAACAGGAATCAAATATTCAATGGACAGACTGAGAGCAAGCTGGACTTTATTGCAGTCTTTTTTGGAATCTGGAATCTCAATTACTATACTCCAATGTAAAGACTGAAAAGACTCAAAATGCGCGCCATTTGGTATTTGGCACTATTACTAAGTAAAACTTGAAATTTTTGATACTCGTAAAACATGAAATTTTCGATACTCAACAACTAGTAGCGTAACACATGAACTCATTTTCTGCTTATTTTCAGTAGAAAATGAGTGGATGTGTTACAGTAGTAACTAGAGTAATATACGAACACATTTTCTGCTTATTTTCAGTAGAAAATGAGTTCATGCATTATGCTAACGAGCCGACAAACACACTAAAAGACAACAGTTTCCTTCCACCAAAACAAAAGGCAACATCGACAATCATGGGTATTGTGGAGATCATTACAATGTACTGGTACCTCCAGTTGCACTCGGACGAACAACAAGAGCAAAGCTACAAAAGCAAGCTCTCGCCAGAAGAGAGATTTCGGAGGGACAGGAGGATGCCACGACTTGCAATAAGGAGATATGCTGATTTCCCTTTCCTGTACATGTTCCACTCAGGGGATGACCAAGCATTGCTCAATTGTTGTGGTTTGGACCACAAGGTCTTCAGGGAGCTTGTTGAACTTTTCGCTCCAGTATGGAACAAGTACCACACAGTGAACAAGAACAATGAGATTGTGGAGGTTCCTCATTATCCCAGTGGCAAGCCAAAGGGAAAGAAGAGAGAGGTCAATGCAGTCTGTGCAATAGGAATAGTCCTTTACTGGTACAGGACATGTAGATCCGTAGCAAGGTCAATGGCAATGGCCTTCGGCTTAACATCCACAGTGATATAAGTGGCTCAAGTTTTCAAGAAGAGTGATGCTTGTTGCTCTTCACAAGCATCCAGAGGCCATGGTGAGTGTCCCAACAGAGGGAGAAGTTGATGCTTATGTTAATCCAATTGGAGACAAGTATCCAAGTCTGGGGTGCTGCTGATGGGCTCAGGAGCATCCTAGCCCAGTCAGAGGACTGGTACAAACAAAAGGCATATTACAATGCTTGGAAGGAAAACACCTTCCTTAACAGTGTATTTGCCTTCTCCCCCGATGGAAGAATCCAGATCACAGTGTACAACTGCCCCGGGCCTGGCATGATAGTGCAGTTGCTGACTATGGCGTGTATGAAAGAATTGAGAAGATCAACAGAACATGTAGGGGGGCTAAGGCTGTTGTTGACTCAGCCTTTGCACTGAAGAAATATCAGAATAGCCTCATCATAAGCTCACAGAAAGACCCTGGCAACAGTCACCTCCTATTGTTGAACAGGGATGCCACGTCGTTGAGACAGATGTTGGAATGGGGAATGAGGATGATCCAGGGACAGTTCCCAAGGATTAAGGACAAAATGTTCCTTGAAGAGCTTGGAGACAGGAGGATCATCATGAATCTACTCATCAACTTGTACAATTACTAGTGTAGTTACATAGGACACAACCAAATCCTATCGACCTTCATGAAGACACCAGCAGCCACAACAGCCAACGTTCCATATGAGAAGGTTGCTCTTGCTGATGGCTACTTTCAAGTACGTAGGCAGATCTCTCCTGATGGAAATGGAGTATTTCTTTAAGGAAATCCCATGGTGAAGAGAACACCAATCAACCAATCCATACAACAACACCAACACCAATCAACCAATCCATACAGCACAAATTGTTTCGAAAAAAAAACACATCCTACTGTCGATAATACTCACCATGGTCCCCCCCCCTTTTCATTCTTTATTTTCTTTCATTGAATTAGCTTTGACTTACTTTATTCAGTTCAGTATGTGAAATAATGAATTAGTGTGAGCTTACTGTAATTTGCAGTATTTGCTGCTATTCCAGTGGTTGCTGCAGTGTTTGCTTAGTTTGTTTACAACCTTCTACGCAATTGCAGTAGAAACCAGGTTTTTGTGTATCCAAAATGGGATTAGAAAGAGGGTTCACATTGTCCAACGGCTGTCATTGATTGGCATCCACATACATTCTAAATACCTTAGTCCTCGTAACTGAATGTTTATTGAAAACACATTGCTGTGTCTTATTTGAATCAATATTCTTCATTGCAGTATATGCATCAAATCTAATCATGGCTGGGATACAAAAAGTATACATAAACACCGCAACTCGATAGGAACTGGTAGAAATAGAACTGGCTGTACAGTCCACAAATTACAAAACAACGGGGAACTGGGAGGAGTGCTGGAGACTGCTTCAGCTACCGCTTTGCTCATTGAATTCATTCCTTAGTATATCACCGTGTTAGTTTAGTTTAGTTTAGTCAATGGTTAACTAATTTCTGTTTTCTTTGTCCTCACCATGGGATTTGTGTGATTCCTTTTCTTCTTGACATTGTCTTTTGCGCGAAGGCATGGGCTKGGGCGTGGAAACATACGTATCAGCTGTCGATGAAGGAGCTGTTGATGCAACAGACGCGGAAGGAGGTAGTGGAGGACCATCGTGGTAATGGTGGGGGGGGGAGGACCACCATGGTAAGATTGTTGTTGCTGCTGTCAAGTAGTCATCATGGTAACAGCAGCTCCAAGAAATTTCTCTGCTACATCCTTTACGCTACTCCACATCTCAATACTGCGTTTGTCTCTTTTTTGCTCTCTTTTGTCGTGGTTCACAATGAATTGGGTGAATGCTGCAGCATCAGGTACCTTTGAATTCTTCTGCTGGTAGGCTCTCTTCTTGGCAATAGGGGTAGTTGATGATCTTACAACAAGTGAAGGCATCAAGACAGAAGATCCAGCTACAGCGGATACAAGTGTCTCCCCGAACTCCCCGGCAACAGCCTCAGGAACAGCATTGGGAACATCCACTTGATCACCTTCCTCTCCAGGAAGAACCACCAATGGGTCTTGTTCCACCACTTCAGCAAGAAGACTGTCGGGGACACCATTTTTGGTTGGTAAACCCTCCACAGCCTCACTTTTAACATAGCCTTCCATCAGATCAAAGTCCTCCTCTCCAGTACCAAGATTTGCTCGTCGACCAATCAAGATGTGGGCTTCCTGGGCCATCTTCACGTAGGCTGGCATGTTTGGGTTTCCTGTGGAACTCTTDATCCTCTTTATTGCTGCATACTTAGTCTTGATGGAAGATCTGGTTCTGAGGGGCCACGCCTTTGCGTGGTCAGCTACTATGGTATCCCACCCGTCGTTACTAATGGGAATCCTGTCAAGTATCATACCAATGAGACTGTCCAGCTCATCGTGAGTGTAGTTTGCTACTCCTGCCTTGCAGCCACTGCTAGTGCCTGCCATCTTGGATACAAATATAGTGTGKGGAATTGGTGGACAATGGTGGTGTGTTCCCTCCTCCTCTTGGAGGTCGTCGATGGCGCCGGCCTTGTCCTCTTCCATGCTTTGTTGGTGCAACAAAGACAGGAAATACAATGTACTGACTAAGAGCACAGACTGGGACATTATTCTTTATGTCCTTTCTCAAATACTTAATAGAGGCGCCATGGTGCCAGTGTTGTTGCTCGTCTCTTATTTGTTTAGAAGAAAAAATTCTCAGTTTTGTCAAGTTCTGTCTTAGGATTCTGGCGGGCTTTCTGTTGAGTCTTTCAGAGTTTTTCAACGGACTCAAAATTTTGAATCGTGAGTTCCACCATAAATTTTATTACATTTGAATTGTCTCAAAATGAGCTGTTCAAATGTAATAAATTTTGGTAATAAATGTGCTACTTTTGATAGACAGACAGACCAAAAAGTAGCACATCTATAATGACGGGAATCACCCATTTAGTCGCATGCCACCAGCATTTAAGCTGGCATCTGTTTTCATAGTTCAAAACCCTACTGGCTCTACGACTAAAAACATCCTATTGGAAAGTTTCTTGAAAATCCACCCCCCAGACCCCCCCTCCTCTTCGAGCACCAATTACAGTCTTCCACTTCCATGATTGAATAAAAATTGGCAATCTCTGTCAATCTAGATAGTCTGCTAGTAAAAGTCTAAGTGGTCTTTTTTAGACTTTTTTGTTTAATGGGAACCATTAAAAACAGGATCTCAACATACATCTGTTAGGTGTTCTTCTAGTCTTAAGGGAATTTGGAACCCACTTATGACTGAAAAAGGGCACTGAGCAGTAAGATTTTCATTCTTTGATTTGGTGGGACTAATAGATTTAGACTTTCTTTCAATGCATGATTCACCCTTGACAGAAAGTCTAAAAATTTGGGCTAGATGGTCTATTTTTGGTCTGTCTGTCTGCCTGTCAAAAAGTAGTAGACCATCTAGATCAATGGGAATCACCCAATATCAATTTTTATTTTTTTTTCTACTATTACAGAGTATGTACGAGGTAGAGTCACAATTTTGCGAGCCATTTTTAGTTAACAGCAGCAGCTTTGGTTGCCTGTTACTAAGTCTAGGAAAGCACCAATCAGAATTTTAGAATCCATAAGTTGGAAAGGGTTTTCTCTTGTCTTTTGATACATGTACATATTGCCATGTAAATTTTGAAGAGAACCATTTCCAGCAGCCTCCTCTGTATCAGTGACTCCTAGTATCAGCATCTTCTATTTCAGCATTGTCCTCTGTAACAGCATCCTCCATATCAGCATCCTCGGTATCAGGCAGCATCCTTGCAATATTCTAACAATGAGAATGTTGCCCTTCTAAACAAAAAGGGGAATATTCTCTTTGTCTCTCCTTTTTCATGGGGTATACTGGAAACTACTACCACTACTAGTGACCAGAGACAAGAATATATATAGCCACCAGCAGAGCAAAGAAATCAGTTTTGGAGTACTTATGACAAGGCTCAGAATGTGTCCTGTGGAATTACTAGTAATTATATAAGTGTTTTTGCTCGTGCATTGGTAATATTCCAGCAATCAGTGCTAGTAGTAGGTTTCATTACATACTACAAGCTACTGAGCAAAAGACCTGGTTTTGGTGTACTTGTGAGGCTCAAAGGTGTGAGTTGTCCTGTGACAAAATTGAGAGTAATAGTCAATTTTTTTCCTCTCTTGAATATCAGTGGTAATAGTACTAGACTCAAGAAATTTACACAGGAGGCCCTCCTACTACTACTTGTCATAGTAAGAAGTGAAAATAATATACGTGCTGACATATAACCATCAGAGCAAAATAATAACTACTAGTAGTACTAGTACTTATGGTGGTAATATTTCTCCAGGAATATCAGTGCTACTAGTTGACTTCATAAAATACTAGTAGTAGTACTACTATAGGCCCATCTACTTGGTCATAGTAGGAACAAAGTAGAACTCATCACTTGATAGTAGAGATCAAAGACAAGAATAGATCTAATCATCAGCATATCAGAGGAACTATTTATTACAATGTTGCTGTGGGATCAAGACCTCTGCTGGGACCTCACTAAGCATTCTCATGCCTCACACAAATATTTATATGTTGGATTTTTATGGTGTGCTTCTGATGTGTTACAGTGCTTCTGATGGTGGTGGTACTATTGTTACCACATGCTGGTTTCTCTACACCAGAAAAAAATACTACCAGTGTTGCATATCATCATGTTGGACTAGTACTACTTCTACAGTACTACTAGTAGCTAGTAGTCCATCTTGTCCTATGTCAGAATGCTCAAGGATGATTTTCATTCTTTCTTTCTTTTCAAGAAATATGGAGATTAGTCTATCATGATATAGGGATCATAGTGGTCCCTGCCTTGCAATTTTTGCTCTTCTTCTTGTTGTCATGCTGTTAATAGAAGAGTGCTGTATTTTGTATCTGAGGGGAAAAATAATCACATATATGCACATTTCTAGTCCTCTCTAGAACACATTCTACTTATGATTGTGAACAATCATCTGTGGTGGAATTCAGCTGCCAAAAACTTCAAAAAACTTCAAGTAAAGTGGAGGACGAAACTCTTTCAGGACCACAGTAATATTTTTTTAAAAAAAATACCATTGTTGTTCTGTTGGAATGGAATCAAACAGCAATTAATAGTAATCCAAAGAGTTAAAGATGTTTTCAATGGAGAACCACAAGGGGGGCCACAACTTGATGTGGTGGTGATAGGCCAAGAACAGCACTGGCCACCACTGACATGATGATCACCCCTATAAGTATGGTGACAGCAAAAGAAGAAGAAGAAGAAGAAGATGACTGGTGGTAATCAGATGATGAGATGATTCATCCCCATCCTTACTACACCATCCACCACCTCTGTGAATGAACATATCTTTCAGTTCAGACAATTAGCACTTAGCACCACCAGGCAGTGCCATCGAAACCATTTAATATGAGTATATTTACTAACCAAATGAAGTAGAAGAGGAGACAGCACTAGGAAGCCCTGAACATTTCCTCTGGCAGGAGAAATGCAACAGACTTAGTATGATGTCAATTATACCTCTTATTTCAACATCAGGAATCAACCAAGAAGCAGTTATTGGTGTTTTCTCAAGATCACCAACTCAGAAACAACAGCAGTCAGCTTTTTCATTGCTGATGGCATGTTCTTGAGCAGCACAATAATATGTCAAAGACCAATTTTTTTCCCTACTTCCTTTTGATGATGTTCAACCAATATAACCATTCTTACTATAAGTGTTGTAGAATGATACTGCAAGACCAATGCGATCAGACTGTCTAGAATTCTGTATGGTGCAATACGTCTTGTCAGTCGTTACCAGTCTCTTCTTTCAAAGGAGAAGGCACACCCAAAATCTGAGTAGGTAACCAATAATTTCTAAGAAAAGGCATTCTTATCAACTAGCAAGATAGAAAACAATACCGCCGTTATAGGAGGTGAAACAAACTAGATATGTAAGTTTTTTTTCAAAAAGTGACTATAGACATGAACGAAGTGTGAATTCGTTTCTGTATTTATCTGTTTTGTTGGATTCTGCTTATTTTGTTGTAGACCATGATCATTTGGTTCAATGGTCGGCTATAGATCTGGGCCACTGGAGGTTAGAGAGACACGGACGCAAAGGGCGAGAGACAAAAATCGTCGAATGTATCTTTGTTCGTATTATGGCGCAGGAGGATACTCCGACTTTGCTGTGTTTCCTGGTATCGCAAGTCGTTGTATGCACCGAACTAGCTAGTTGCCTTGGTAAGGTAACATTAGGTTGCTCGAAGCACAAGTCGAATGGATCCACCCGAAAGCTTTTTTGATCTATCACGTCCCGATTGTCGGCATGTGGCCGTGCCACCAAATCTTGATGCAGATGTGACCTACGTAGGAGATGGGGATAACCACAGCGATTGCGTAGACACAATAGTTGATCATGGTCGCTCCTGTGTCCGTGTCAATCCATTGACGCGGAACCCAACAAATGCATTTCGTATAGCGAGTGATGGATGAGCAATGGTTTACCAAATAATGAACACTGAAGTATTGTACCTCAACATCTTCGTTTTTCGCTATTTTCGGACGGTATTTTTTCAGTGAAGCTGCTGTAAGTTTAAACTTATGTTGTCATCGCAGTAGCCGGGGAACATTGATACTGTAAGTTGTGCTTATGTTTCATTCACCATCTGGTCAACACACGTTTCGTGTCATACGCACTTTTTGTCGAAGTAATTCTTAAACAAAAAACTCTCACCATAAATGAAATCTAACAGATGACGAACAGAGAGGAAATGTTTCCCGCTACGGAGAACATTCGATCATCATGAAATTGTCTACTACGGTACCGTGTACTGTAAGGGGATGTTCAGAGGAATCTCTGATCACATCTTCTAATGTATTCTTATGTAACGCATTTCCATTCTATTTCAGTTGCGAGTCAATCGTATCCGGGATGCGGGAATGGAGAATCAATCAATCAATCTAAAATGAAACAAAAATCCTCTTCTGGTAAAAAAGGAAAAAGGGTTAGTGCTTTTTGTCCCGTTTGGCACGACTGAATTTTGCTCCGAAACCTTTCTGAAAATACTGGTACAGGCGTTGTTATCGATAGAATATCTATTACTACCAGTGCCACTTCGTACTCGTTGGCGAAAAACACGACGTTTCTAACCTATTGCTTATCAACGCAAACAGCTAGCCGACTGCATATTTGCTTAGATTGCCAAGATTTGGTTCGGATCGTTTTAGGAACACGAGCGAAGTCTGATTCTTGAACTCAGCCATCAGATTTTCTTTCCGTTCATGGACTCGATGCGACACGACGCGATGCGAGACACAATCATCATGATGCACCCCTCACTCGAATTATATTTCCTCATGATTAGACCGTGATTTGCGATGACTCACTTATGCCAACCTATTGAAAAATAGAATTATTTCTACTTGATGACCTAGGAAATGCTGATGGGGACCTTTACAGTAATTGCACGATGTACGTAGTCACCAAAACGCTTTCTTGGAATATTGTACGTGTTACTTTTTTCCCGGTCGCGCCTCCACAAAACCTCCTCGGAGGGAGGCGCCGCCCCTCAGAGCAGCAAGAAGCAAACTTTTGAAGGAAAGCTATGTTTCTGGCCACCCAAGTGCCTCTTCTAGTTCACGAGGTTAAATATAATATTAAGATTTTTTTGTACGTGTTACTTTTTGTATTAAGTAACGATACAAATTTTCCTCGCGCATGCCCGAAAAGAAACTCTTATTTTCAAGCGATCGCAAATATAAGTTGTCGACGAGCACAAAGTAATGCGCAAACTCTGTGTTTCATACTTTAATCCGTTGTGATACATAGTTTGCTTGCTAATCTATATAAACTCTGAATATTGTGTTATTCTGGTGCTACGTGGGTAATGTTCGAAGGTATTTTCTCCGAAAAAGGTGCTTGCTGAAAAGTTGAAGCTTTCCTCTGGGTATTCATTATGGAGAAGATACGATTTTGTTGGTGCCAGCGTTGATGTTACTGATGCAATCTTTTTAGTAATGGAAGGCGATTGAGGCGGTGTTATCGATGCTGGCAAGTCGCGATGTATTTCCGTACCGAGGCTTTCGTCCAGAAAGTCAACTGTGTCGAGGCTGAGGCGGAGGATATCTTCCATAGCATCATTACGTGTTTCGGAGGCTGTTCTTAGCCTGTAATGACTGTCAATTTTATTGCTTGCGGATGGCAGAGGAAAGAATACGGCCTTCTTATTGGTGGTTCGTTTGGTATTCGTTCGTGTTTGTTCCCGCTGCTTCCTGCGTGTTTCATTCGATACGACACCGGAAACGCTGAATGGCCTGATGTTCTTCTTTCCCTGTCCTTTCTGGATCAATCGAATTGTGTCGCGGATGGCGTGTCCAATTTTTTGGTGGGCCTGGACGTCATTCAGTTCGTACCAGCGCTTTGTGTCGTTGTCGATCTTAGCAAAACGGGCACCGTAGATCCGGATGTTCTGGAGGATTCTGTCCACCACCCTAATCTTTTCGGGTCGATTCGACGCGTTCATATATTCTCGGAGGCTGGCACGGATGGTATTCCCGAAGTACTGGTTCCCTGCGTGGTTCGAAAAGACGTTCCCCCTTCCACATAGAATGTCTTTGCTCCCGGGTGTAAAGTCTTCTGGAAGCATGATTCGGCTCTTGCTGCTGGTTTTCTTAGTCTTGATTTTTCGTTCTATGTTGTTTGTGGTACTGGTGACTATCATAGTATTTCTGGTGCTTGCGGTGCACATTCTGTTTAGTTTCGATGACTCTTTTATCGTTTTGTTTGGTCAGATTTTTTCTGATTGCGCTTTTGCCTATCACCTTTTTTAATTTATGACCAATATTGATTTGAAGTACTCGTACCAAGTACGTCTGAAGAGTCCATGATCATAGAGGAAATCCTACCACTGGCACAGTAAAGAAGAAATCAATCGTGCATAGGCGCGCGATTGGGAAGTAACATTCCGAAGACAATAGCAATGCGTCACAAGCGAACCCCTAAGAAAGATTGCTCAAAAACAAAATAGCACGTTGCAAATCCACATAACAGATTAAATCTTCGTATTTTAATTGTCTGTCCTTGTTCCGAAGTTTTTCCTCAATCGTGTCAATCAATCCTTTGAATTATGATAGCGAGTCTTCAAGAAACAAATCGTGCGGAAAAAACTCATGAATAAAATAATACAAGTAATTGGTGAACAAGAAAAACTGCACATTTGACCTATCGTTCGAAAGTACTTCTAATGTGAATTTTGATACAGTAAGATGCAATAAAATTAGATGCAGTACAACTATCACACGATTGCCGATGATGCGAAACTTCTCGGTACCGACCACGTCTGCTCGATAGTCGAAGACCGCAGCGCAATGCCACGATTGATCGATGGTGGTGCAAATCAGCACCCACCGAGATACCTGCTTGCATTAACAACGTGGAACAGTGTTGTTTCGTGAAATATATAACAACTACCCACGATGCGGAAGCAACATTGGCCGCGGGAATCAATACACGGACACGGATGCGGCGAAACAGTAGAAGCGTAGTAATCGGTGTGTAGGAGTGAAATAAACATAGTCACCGACCAACGACCGATTCGATTTGATTCTTGCTTCTGAATGGATGGATAGTAATTTCTTCTATCACTGCCGAGAAATCGATCGACAGGATACTGGAATACAACTCTGTGGCACTTCGTCAAATTGATGACAACATTGAGTGATTCCCGTTATTATAGAAATGCTAAATTTGATAGACGGACGGACCAAAAATCTAGCACACAATGTAATAGATTTAGCATATTTTGGATGGGTCCGTTGGACCGRTCCAAAATGTGCTAAATMTATTAGGGAACCCACGAATCAAAATTTCGAGTCCGTTGTAAGATTCAACAGAAAGGCTGGCCAAAATTAACACCCGGCCATACAAAAGTTAAGACTGTTCTTTTCTAAACAAGTATCGAAATGACAACAAGAAGGCGCCTCAAATAAGAAGGGCGCCCAGGACATAAGTCAAACTATGTCTCGATCTGTGCTGTTAGTCAGTGCAATCTATTTCCTTTCTTTATTGCAGCAAAGAGAGGAGGAGGAGCAAGAGGAGGAGGACAAGCAACAAGAGGAGCCGGCCTGTTGTCCCATCCCCCACATTATATTTGTTAAGATGGAGGCAACTGCTGGTGGCCGGAGGCCTCCCCACCAGCCTGCAAGTGGTGGTGGCAGTGGMAATACTGGCMGTAAGACTGGTACTATAAACTACTYGCGAGCAGAGGTCACCGATCTCATGAGGTTGATACTGGATGTACTCCCCACGTGTGGTGAGGGATGGGAGTGCATTACAGCAAAGCATGCTGAGAGTTGGCCTGTTGGTAGGACCACCAACTCTATCAGGACTAAGTATGCAGCCGTGAGGAGGATGAAGAGCTCCACCGGAAATCCAAACATGGCCCGGCTAGCCCACAAGCTGATTGGTGAGAAGGCAAACGTTGGAACTGCAGAGGAGGAGTTTGATATCACA